CTGCTCGCCCCGCAGGGGCGGCGCCTTCAACGGGCCCCGAGGGCGAGGTCGGGCGGACGCGAGAAGACGGATGAATGGAACTCGTGGGGAATGCGCCGTATAGTTGGCCGTGATTCAAAAGGTTGGAAGACGTAACTGCTCTAATGAAGTCACTTTCAGCAGAGGCGGCATCTTGTCGCTATGAGCTTTGCAAATACTGCAAATGACTTTTGTTGGGTGTTGTGTAAATCGCGGAAGCACAGAGTCGGGGATCAGCGATGAACTTGAAAATGGGGCGTCAAATTAAGAAATCGAGTGTAAAAGTGAGTTGGTACTTGGTAATTGATAATTGGTACTAGTTTGGACAAAAATATAACTCCATTACCATAAGACAAACAACTTTTTGATCCACATCCATTTATATCGTTTATATCACACGTGTTCCATTCATCCATTTAGTTTTGACAAAACAGTCGCGTACAAGTTGGGCTGGGGCAGGACAGGGCAGTAGCTTGTGGCTGAGGTGTGAATAGGTGCCTCAAAGGGTCGAAGAAAGAGAGCGGCACTCCAGGTGGCCGTGACGAAGCGAGGTGGCGGCGGGATGGAGAAGGCCGTGGCGGAGGAAAGGGCGGAGGTGGCCGTGACGGATGAGACTTGTTTCAACCGCCTGCAGCCTCTGGAATCTCCGGGGCCGCAGGCGCTACTGCTAAACAACAGCAAGCTATGCTGGCTTGGCTGCCCTTCCTTAAGATCTAGTACAAGGAAAGTACTGACGACGACGTCTGATTTCTGTCCGTGCAGTGGCCTCACTTGTCTTTACAACTGAGTAGCAAGGCGGTCCGAGGAATTCTCGAATCACTGTTCATCAAATCGAGTCCATATCAACAAGACTCTTCTCCGTATAACATGTGTTTACACAAACGGACAGAAATTAGTTACTCAACATCACAGTTGGTGGGTTTCCGCTTCTGTAACGAAAACACCACAAAGGTCAGTGAGCTTCGTCGGTGCGTGACGTGCTCGCAGTGGAAACGAAATAGTTCAAGGCAAGTTCAGAAGCAGATCCTTCAAGGATCTGCGAAACGGAGGATGGCCGCGATGAGAGGCCACGGAGTAGCACTGGGCAGGTGACTCGGGACGGTGTGAAGGATGGGGTGGGGCGGGAGCGGGTGCGTGTGGGAGAAGATGGAAGCAGGTAAATCGAATGGGAGCACGTGGGAGGGGGTGGGGAAGGGCGACTCGGTTGTGCGCACGCTGTGCAGGTGACGCGTGCTGGAGCATGGCGAGGCGGGCCGGGGCGGGCCGGGGCGAAGGCGGCGTGTCGTGGCACCGTGAGCAGAGGCCCCGCTCCAGAATGCGGACGTGCGGCGGCGCGGCGGAGCGGAGAGAAGCGGAGCGATGTGGAGCGGTTATTTCTGCGGACGTGGAGGGGGGCCAGACACACCCGACTTGCCCGCGCCTCGCCTGCAGAGCTCTCGGCAGCCAAATACGAAAACGAGGCTTTCCCCCACGACTCAAAAGGTAAAATCGTCATGATACATGGGCCGAGAACTTTCTGTATTATCCGTGGAGGTTCCGCAGGAGTTGATTTGGGGGTGGCGTAAAATATGACAACATTCACATGTACAAACAGCAGCAGAAACAAACGCGTTGTTACATACATTCGCGCACATGCATATTGTGTAATGTCATCTCAATCTCAAACTATAAAGAAGTAACATATAGTATCGTAGTAACTAATTTTGATACATCAAATGATTGTATCCTTACGTCATAAGTCGTAGGTGGTATCGCGAGGGAGTTTGTGTTCCACAAAGGAGGTGGTCAGACATAAATCGTTTAAACGCTCTCCGGTTCTTAGCCCTCGTTGCCACAATTTCTGCCCCGAATTTAGATTTTCGGATGTATTCTCGCAGCGATGAATCTGGGGCTCCCACCTGCCCCGCCTCCCGGATGGCGTCAACCGGCCACGCCGCTCGCGAGCAGGAGGCCTTGGCCCTTGTTGGACGCCGCTTCAAAGGCGCTTCAGAGCCTCGGCCCCCTGCGCGGCTGCTGTCGAAATCCCACCCACCCCCACCCACCGCAAGCGCTCGGCAACAAATGTTACGGATACGTCCTGTGGGCGCAGTGGGCGAGTAGCAAACGTTGGTTCCTTCCAAGTAACATCATCTGTACCGAAAGTATTTCTTCGCAGTTATTATAAATTTTCTTCTACTTCTTCTTCTTCTTCTTCTTCCATATCAATAAAGGAAAGTTGGTTACTAAGTGCAAATAATTCATGTTAACTTTCCGAGACAATTACAAATTGACAAGTAATTATTGAAATGATTACACGAGATAAACTATTGTTCTCTTCTGCCTTTCTCGTAACATTTACACGATGAACACAACCGTACGTTTCTCGTAATTCGAACCATCTTTCCTCGTTTCTGAGGATTCGTAGTCGGCCGTGTTATATATGCAACGGCGCTGACCTAGTAAATATACGTTGATGAATGGGGTGTCACACTATTTGACACCATATAGTCAGAACTAAGTAGCAATATTAGTTATCCAACAATCCACAATCTAAAGGCAACGAAATTTAATTGTGCTACATCATATCCAACCGGATCCATCTGTGATTACTGACAATGCTATACTATGCTATCTTAGACAATGCTTGTTTCACAAACAATCAAATTTTCTTTTGTTTTCAATACGCCGAAACACGTGTGCATTTTTTTCAGATCTTGGACTCTTTGTAGTCATTAGTGATTAAAATTTACAAATATATTACGAGGTAGTCCCTGTTAGATATCTTAAAGTTTACCCTGAAGCTAAACACAGTGCAATTTCAGAAACATTTAACACAAGAAAGGATCAGACTTAGCTGTAATTTAATAAGATATTGCAGTAAAATACCCCCATGTATTGAATAATTCATTAAAAACTCTAATATAACAATACCTTATTTACTGTTCGTTTATGCTTTAACCATCATCCGTGAGCTCGCACTACTCAGTTTTAAACTTCATATCGGATGGACCAATTGAGAACGGAGAACCAGCCCAACACAAGTTCTTAAATATTCATGTAAGAAAAGTTTTGGGAAGTCAGGGTCGCTTGTGTTGGTTCGTTTGTTTAAGAAACTGCACCAGTATGCGCCTAGAATTAACACAAAATATATTGTAATTATTCCTTCATTATTACATAGTGAAATATAGTATCACTACAATCACACATTTATTAAGCCTTATGTAATATGAAAAATACAGTATACCGAGACCTCATACCATAGTTCGTATTTACTCTGAGACCTTGAATTAATAAAGAATCGAATAAGAAATTTCGCAGTCTTTTAGATGCAACGGTTCTCTCACTGTTTAATCTCATCGCCGCAGTTATGAACATAGAAGTAACAGCCCCCTCGCTTGTGAAGCGCTCCGCCCCCCGTCTGAGCTCAGCCGCCTCCTCGTCAGCGAGACGTCGGCTGAAGCGCCGCTGACCCAGTTGCGGGCTCCACGCCCTACATCCACCACGCGGAGCAGACAGCGCCGCGGACGCGCGCGGAGAGGTGTTTTTATTTTATTTTTTGTTTTTGTTTTTCACGGCCCCCGCGACTCCACGTCGCCGCCACTGCCGCCTCTTCACGAGAACGGTCGCGCTCTCAAAGCGAGAGGTCGGGTAGCCGGGCGCTTTTACGGCCCACAAATCCGTCGGGAGAGCGCGTTCGGAAAGCGAGCTCCGAGGGGGGAGAGGGAGGGCGTGACCTTCGCCCCGAGACAGTCCGCGGCCGAAGTCTTCGCAGAAGCCGCCGGCAGCACTCGAGCGCGCGCAGGAGGAGGGCGAGGGGGCTAATGGTCCAGACTGGGAGAGATGGTTCAGGACATCAACTGATGTCACTGCAGTTCCTCTGTCCTAGGTTCGAGTCTCCACGGTGGCAGAATTTTCAAGACTAGCTTGTCCGCTTGGTGGAATTCAGTCTGTCTGGAGAAGAATTCTAGCGACCGGCTGCTCTCATTGGTAGTTCTCCGTGATTTCTCCGATCAACATCAGACGAATGCCGAAGCAGAGCCCTAACAAACGCGCCACAGACCCCGCTCGATTTTTCCTTTCTCTTCCTTGTTGTCACCCCACTCCTTATATACGCACTAACATGCACTACACAATCAGACACGCCGGGAGAGCGGTAGGGAACTTAGAGCTTGTCGTGACTGGGGCGGTGCCGCGCTGGTGGGAGATACCTGGTTAGGAAAACCCACTAGTCGACAATAGATCATCGCCGGATCTCGCCATCCATCGGGGGAAGATCACTACCACATCCCAAGCAAAACATGCACTACACTTACGGGATTAATGACTGTTAGTTGACGTTCGCCGAATCACTAACAATCAAACAGACCAGCGTGGGGATTTGGGATGCGGCTCTACGGCGGGATATAGGTCGACAATTTTGCGAAATATTGTAGGGTGGGACTTGCCTCGCAAGGCATTGCGAAGCTGCTCCGAATTTCTTTTCTGGTAGGTTAGTGGATTCCCCCGAGAAACGCTGCTCCGCAAGTTGATTCGCTCTCTTGCTCTGTTGTGAGCAGCTGGTCAGGTCGGTGGATTCTCCGAACAATGCCAACGACCGCGTGCGATCTTTCCTTTCCCCTCCTTGCCCCTCTTCTCCCCTCGCACTCACCGGAAGACCAGGCGCGCTCGCCAGAAGACCAGACGAAAGCGACATTTTTCAGCAGCCGTTTTGGCTGCACCGCATAAACAAAGATTTCGTAGCCTCCAACACCTGCGCTTCGTCCATACAGCCTCCGTCCCTCGTTCAACGTTGTGACGGCTGTTGAGATGATAGGCCCCAACGAGGAGCAATTTCTGTGCCATTAAACGCAAGTACGGAGTACGGGCAGTGTGAGAAGCGGTATGCGTGGCACGGTATGCGTCCTGTTATTTCATCATTCACGGAACTCGCCAGAGGAAATTAGAGAACGACCAACCGGAGCAATTAACGTTCAGTCAGAGACCTGCCTCAATCCGACTACTTCATGGAGTCTAATATCCCCTCGGTAACGGAGGAAAGTAAACCAGTGCGTAACAGCCGAGAAAGACGTCTGCGCCAGTGGACCCTCATCGGCTGGGCACGTAGCGCACACGGATGTTAGTGTTGGTTCCCAACGCGGCACGGCGCTGCAGCTGGCGATACAAAGATTTCAAAATAGCTAGTGTCAATGTGTAGAAACGTGTGTGACATTCTTTGAATAAGCGCTTTCTAATATTGGATAGGCTTTGTTGATATAATAATAATAATAATAATAATAATAATAATAATAATAATAATATATTTTCTTCAATGATAGATCTGGCAATGTGATCATTGGTCTAAAAAGCGTCACTGATACCCCACAAGCTCATGAATAAATTGAGCTTGTTGTTTGGCTTAGCACTGAAAATCAAGAAAGCCTTTGAATCTTGTACTCGTAGCGCATATGAGAGAATAAATGTGATTTTTTAATAAAATGCATCGTCATTTTAAACGCGATCAACACACGGGATTTTCGCAGCAGAACTGCATGTTGAAGTGACACAGGAAACAACCAGAGAAATTTTAAGAACTCTCATATTTCGTGTTTGTTATCCTCTCGATTTGTGATCCTGCGCTCGGATCAACCCGTTTTACGCCTCTCTCGCTCGCAGCTGTCCACGCGACGTCTCGTGACTCGGGGGGGGGGTGAGTCAGAGGCAAAACACTGGCTGTCGCATGCCGCTCTGCAACAGTCAAACACCTGCGCTTCGACGGTGACAGCCGCCCCCCTCCCCGCCGTCACCACCGTGTCACCTTCACCTCCACCCTTGTCTCTGCTGTTGGGAGCTCTACGCGGCAGCCACGAGCTGCCGGAACCTTTACAGGTACATCCGCGGTGTCATTAGGGATAACAAAACTTCGCTTTTCCAGAGTACTGTTGTAACTCAAAAACAAATCGAAAATAGACCGGGAGAAAATAGACCGGACCTGATCGGAAAGTCCTACGGTTCGAGCCCCGACGGTGGCAGAATTTTCAACACTCATTGAATAGTTACGCCGTCTCGAGGACAACTCTAACAGCCGGCTGCTCTGATCGGAAGTTTTCCGTGGTTTCCCCGATCAACAACAGGCGAATGCCGGAGCAGTCCCCTAAAACGGGCCACATACCGCGATCTTTCCTTTTTCTTTGTCCTATCCTCAATCATACTTACACACTTACATGCACTACCTTACCACACATGTCGCGAGATACCTGGTTGTGGAAAACATGCACTACTCTTACAGAACCAATGACCTTAGCCATTGGCGGCCCGGAAATGCTAATGAATCCTTCAATAATAGTTTTAATAATAGAAATATAAGTTTTTTAAGGTAAATTTGTTAAAACAAAATGAGGAACAAGTCCGTATCTCTCACATTATACCAACTGGCGCTTGGTAGCAGATGCATCGTTATTTTGTGGTCGGAGTTTGCTTTTATTTTTATCAAATAATGTTTTCTAAAAATTCAAAACTTTATAAAATCAATTTTCATAAATTAAAAACCAAGAAATAACACTTTTGTAATATAATTGTTGATTAATTGGAAGAAAATGAAGTAGCGGGGAAATTAAATTCCTTCTCCAGCACAAAACAAGTTTTTTGCGTGAGTTCTAACAGTATTTCAAAGAAGAGACGAAAAGTTAATTCTAATATCACCGCATACTGAATCTTGATTAATGGTCTCTATTCTTTTGGGGTAATTATTAATGGTTTTGCGGAACTTTTTTAGGGCTATTGGAAATGGGCAATTTTGAGGATGTGGAATCAGATGGATTAATGATGATCCTTAGTGAATATAAGAACTGGAAAAAGAATAACGCATGTTTACGCGTGTTTACGTTTTTGAAGATACAATATCGACACCCGTTGCCAGTCGATAGCAGGAAACACTCAGAGAAGCCGACTTCCGAAATTCATATGCTTCCAAAGGAATCGATTGATCTACTTACTTGGTATGCCTGTCTGTAACCTGGAACTGCCCGTGCACGAAACGCCATCTAATTATACACTCGAGCACGTCCGCCACAACGCTCCAAGTGAGAAGTTGGAACGCGAAGATTTCTCGCTCCGAGCGCAACCGCGAATGGCAAAGGACCCAGCTTCGGCGCCGGCAGAGCGGAATGAAGGCGCGTTAATTGCAGCGGCGGAAGCGCATCGCCGCCCACCCGCGCAATTACTCGATCGCTCGATCGCCCCGAAATAGAGGGCCGCGTCGTCCAAGGCCCCCTGCGCCGCCGATGCCGCCGCCACTCCGGGCACCTCGCTTCCTGGCTAGTGACGGTTCCAGGGGGGAGGGCATGGAGGCCATGGCGTCATCGTTTGACACCTTCTTTTATTTGGCAAAATTTATTTAAATAATGTTAGAATAACGTAATTATTTAAAAAATAATATCGTGTAGCAGTGTTACTCAAACTGTGAGGCGCACCTCCTCACTTGGCCAGAACTTTGGATTTTCAGCCTTGATGGTAATCTATATAAAATATAGATCACGAATGACCTCCAGAACAAGATGCGTTTTACCATTTCTAATTTAGTGCCGAGATTCGATAAAGTGTTTGCCACCAAACAAGCCTATCCATCTCGTTTTTCTGAACTATCAATATGTTCGTGTTTTATGGTTTTCCTTACAGTTTTCATTTTGTCGAACGTTAATGTGCACGGTGTCCGGTGTCCGGGGCGCGCGCCAGATGTGCTGTTAAATCACGACGCGCGCGGGTGCGTGTGCATGCGTGTGCATGCTTGTATTCGCGAGTGCGGTAGAGCGCAGCAGAGGGCCTTGGGCAGGCGTCTCCAGAGGCGGCTGGGCCTGTAAGCGCTTCTGTCGGCGGCGAAGGCTCCGGGGCGGAAATACGAGACTTCTTCCGGGAAGTATAAGCGGTGCAATTGGCAGCGGCGACTCAACGAAAGCAGCTGCAACGGAATTTTCACTTCGCTCGTAAGCGCTGCCCTTTATACTGCAATACGACGGTAATGATTTTCCGACACAAGAGTAACTAGGGTACGTATTTCACACGCTACACGGAAGTGCGAATGCTGTCGTTTCACTTCCTCCGAGTCGCAGGAGGTGGTTGTTTGCGAGGGTGAACGGAAACTCAATTTTACACGAAACAATCGTGTTATCCGAAACACGCGAAGAGTGTGGGCGACGGCAGCGGCGGAGGACGAGGGAGCGAGGCTGCAAGGGAAGTAGGAGGTGGATGGGAAGGGGAGTGGAGAGTGGCCTTCCTTCATCGTACATTCCACTGGCATGAACCAGCCTCTCCTCCCATTGCGACGATGTTGCGACGCTCAGTAGTTCTCAGACGCCGATTTCGAAACGGGAAATAATGACTTCATTGAGCCTTGCAGGTCCATTCGTAGTTTCAACGATTTCAAATGTGTTGTTCTAATTGTGGAAGCAATTGTAATATAAAAAAGGGTTATCATTTCAGTCATATGCGTGACTTTGCTTAGGATGATAATAGCGATTGCCTTAATGAGATTAAATCATTAAGATAGTCATCATTGAAATAACGAGACCAAGAAAATAAACATGAATTATGCGTGGTGGATGAAGACATTGCTGGCCCCAAAACTACACCAACTTTTTTTTTTTTCCATTTCATTAACCACTTTCAATATCTCATACTTTCCGAATTCCTCGTATACATTCAAGCAGTTTCTACAAGCACTATTGTTTAGTACCTTTCGGAAAACGCAACATACTACGTTGAAGGATGGCGATAGGATGAAAATTACTTTCCTTCGGCCCTAATGGCTGTGGCCTGAAGTGTCACATATCCTCGAGCTATGTCTTGAGATACATGTGGACATTATTTTTACCACGTGGGTGTCAGTGGCATAGTAGCTGGGTCGAAAACAGCGAACACGAAACTGCTTTTGCGTCGTAGGGCGGCGATGGCAGGAGTAGCTGGCCCCCACAACAGAGGCAGCAGCTGCAAAGTCGGAAGGGCGTGGGCGAACCGGGAGGAAAACAAGAAGCCCCACGCACCGCCGGGCAACGCTCTCGCTCTCGCTCTCGCGTTCAGACTCTTGCGCAGCGCCCGGCGCTTGTTTTTCTCCGACGCAGAACAGCACGAAAGCGCAATATCGCAGGATACTAAAGAACGCCGCTCTCCGAGGACACAACAGCGGTATTTAGTTATTCTCTAAGCTCTGGAAGTGGCATGAAATGCGTTCGCTCGGTAGACAACACGGAAATTAGTTTCGTGAAATGGGAAAGAGATTTTAAATTTGACCGTAATTCTGAGGTAGTAAACTTTATCTTAGAAATTTTCATTACAGACAATTCATAACAATTCACATTGACTCTTACAACTTTTGACAGAATTTTAATGTTATTTGTATTTTATTCTGTGGTTTTACCCTCCAATTGAATAAATGGAATTGAACTCCATACTACGGTAGAAAACAAAACGGCTTTCTGGCCTTTTGCCCTTTAATCCTTTTCTAGCCTATCCAAATGAACCAGCAAGCCTTTTCTATCGTAGGGGTTGACACATTTGATGTTCGTAAATGACTGAACCAATTTAAAGCACTTTCTCTTCTCTTAAAGCTTTGTTGTGGTTGGAATTGTTTGATTTGAGACATTTACTTTGCGATTCTTGAGCGGTTTATTAGCTGCATAGATTTTTTCAGCTTTGTTGAACTCACACTTTTGTATTACATTATTATTAGATTACTTACCTACCTTTTCTTATTCATATTTCAATCATCGTTAAAACTCCCTCAGCAACAATGAAGTTTTTTTCTTATACATAAATTGCTATTAATTCAAACCAAAAAGTTCCGGTTAAATAGAGACATAGTAGAAGATATAAAAAAATTAATTCAAATGTATAGAAGTAAATTTATTCCGCATGTTGATGCCTAATTTATTTTGACACATAAGCAGTGAATGTAGACTTAAGTGCTTAATTGCTGATAAATTTCGGGTCAAGAACACTGTAAATAAAATTACCACGCGTTGCCCACAAATGAGCTGTTAATGTGCCGAGAATTTTAATTGAAATTCTTTTTCACGCACACTGAAACTTCTAATTAATGTATCCTTGACCGAACTCTCAAAGATGCACAAAATTAGCTTCAGGATTACTTTTCTTGATCCTTGCAAAAGTTATAAATATTTATTATTAAAGAATAACCTATTTCGTCCTTTCATTCTTGCTTTTTCAACATACAAAAAGAAGATTTCATGTGAAATATAACGTATATGTATACTTTCAATGTACTCTACCTTAATTTTATAATCAATTAATTATGAGTCCAGTTTTCTTGTTAATTAAAGAAAATAAATAATTAATTTTCACCACGTTTTTCACATCATATGACCATGACACTTAGCTTTATAGAAAGCTTGCTAAACCATCTTAGAGTAAATCACATTTGAATAATGTCCCGTCGCTGACAATCTAACGTGCGGTCTATTTCTTTTTGTTGCAGACCTGCTGTACAGGCAGACAGTGACGGTGAACAGTTGCCCACTGGAGGTGGAGATTGTCGACGTGTCTGGAGAGTCGGTAAGTGCATGCTGCGCGGTAACAGACGGGAACGGAAACACAAACACGAGAGATAATTCGCGGGGAACCGTTCAAAAACATTTTCGACAAGGAGTAGATTCTTGAGTTTACTTCGAGCTATGTAAATTATAAACCGTGACACACTTCCATGTGTTTACTTGGTCCATCGGTGTTACATCGCGAGACTTAAGGCTTTTCTGGAGAAAAACTGAGAAGTGTCAAGCGAGTATATAGTGAAGATACTTCCGTCGGGCAACCCTGTTACAGAACCCCATGCACAAGTAAACAAAGGTGTATCTGTCTTTCAAATATCTTTCTTTTCATTGCGCTTTGAGCTTTGTTATCCTCTCGTTTTCTGCATATTTATTTCTATAGTAGGTTTTGCTTTAATTACTATTCTCATTTTCTTTAACTACCATATATTTATTTTTGATGGTTTTCATCACAAGTTACTCATACATTCGTTGAAAATATATCTTGGAGTAGCTGAAGTTAGGACAAACTACTTCGGCTCCACCATTCAAACATATTCTCTTCCGCAGCCAGCCTGCTATCTTCCAACCTCTGAAAACCGGAGTTCAAAACTCTGATACTACACATGGAACTGGTGGCGGTCAAAGGTCGTCAGCTCTTTTGCACCATTTCTCAATTTCCCCCCGTGTCATCTGCCGTTCTTTTTTTTCCTATGAAAGAATGAAAATGAATGGATATATATCCATCCCCATTCGTGTTATCCCTATTACCTCTTCATGAATTTACTTTACGTTCCTAGCTTCGGCCACTATGCATACAGTGGAATCATTATAAAGTCCACGTCTGTGTCGTCAAGATCGCTCAAAGACGTGAAGAGCGCCCTCCGCTGAACACGTTGTGGCCAAGGCAAATCGCCAAATCCCGAGCGTTCGCTAGGTGAATTCCTCTCTCTGCTCACCTGACGCCGACATCCAATCGCAGCCATCGCGCCAGCCAAAAATTCCCCACTAAGAGGAAAGCTTCGAGGCGTCTGCTTCTTTGTACAAACAAATCCTCCCAGACCCCTGTCCGGTGGCTACAGGTGGCGGATCGAAAATCAGAGCTGCGCATCTCGGCACTTCTCTTCGAAACCCTTCTGCATTAGTTCGACGAGCGTGGTTGCCCTGAAGGCTTTCGGAAGCCCAGACCTGGCGCTCTTCGCTCGGCACTTGCCGCGTCCGCGTCGGCCATTTCGCCTTCCGTCGCTTGCAGAGCTAGGAGCCGCTCTGTTCTGGAAAGTAAATCTCCGCCACAGGTCTGAGAGGCGACCTTTTTTGAGAACGCCCGTTGATTAACCGAGAGTTTATAAATGCAGATCAAATAATAAATAATTGGTTTCGATAGGTATAAATATAATTCTATAGTTAATCTCAGTATATTTACTTGTATAAATCAATCGGAATAATTACTCTATTATTAGTTAGGGCCTAATTACTATTTATTATTAGCTCACAATAATTAATGATAGTATTAATTTGTAACCACTCATAAGTATGATAAACTGTTATAATTTTGTCCCCATCAAACTGTCCTCTAAATGTATTTTCTGAAACCTAAGTAAATATCACTAAAAAATTGAACAAGACGTAAATTGCGTATCAATTTGATGAACATTTTGCAAATGTTCTACATCTTCCCTAGACGTGTTAAATTTTTCGATAGCCACTGACTATTCACTCTATTCCTTAGTCTTTCTAAAAGGCGGCTCCTCCGACTTTTCAGTTCTGAAATTCTTTCGATTGTTCTGTGATGACTTCAAAAATTCTTTCCTACTTGAAGCAAAGCTGAATGTTCCCTGAATGGTCCTCTTTGTTAGTCCTTTCGATGCTTCACAAATAAAGAGGATTAAGCCGGCTGGCTCAGAACATCTATAATGCAAAGAATTACACATTCCGAGAATCATTCTTCGAGAATCGAACAAATTCTGAGAAATTAAAACAAAAAGAGCCACAATTGAATGAAGTTAGCAGGCAATAATATTCGCCTTACACAAGATTGTAGTTAAAGAAACCACAGAGCACAATCAGAGGGGAGAAGAGGGTCTGCCCTGTCTACACCATTGAAGAAAGAGCTCTCAAATATACCCAAAGAACACGTATACACGTTTCCTACGTTGCCACGCTGGACACACACTCCAATCGAAAATCAGTGTTGTAAATTGACGATGGTGATGCGAGAGATCGTCCCCATAGAGAGTTTGGTGTCCCCTACCGGAATAATATTAATGTATCCCCGACGGAGCACGATTAATCAAATTATATGCTGTCTCATTTAACAGATTAACACACTTCTAGACGCGGTTACTGGAAAAGTAACAAACAATGTCACAAGCTCGCATATTATTGTCTCGTCTGCAATTATAAAAGAGTGAAGACGTTGGCTTTGACACATCATCTCTAATAGTTCACTTGTTCTGTTTAATTATTGAACGTCTTCCGTGGAAAAAATTGCAAATTCGCATCCTGGAGGCAATTTTACTCATCTTAAAATATTTATCCGCCCAATGTTAACTTAATTTAATGTAAATAATTAAAACGTCAAAATGGTCATAGCATCTTCACATTAAAGTAGGCCTAAACGCGTGCACTTGTGTATAAATGTTTTGGACCGAAGGGGGCTTTTGCATTTGGCCAGTAAAGTAAGATGCGTAGCGGGAATTTTTTGGGAGTCTACATTTTAGGGCGAGCGAGCATATCTGTGAATGTTTTGAACCGGAGTGAACTTTTGTACCTGGACAGTAGTGAGTAGTGAGGTGGCGAGTGCGAGTCCTGCACGTGTGTTTGTGTGTGTGTGTTGCAGCGCGACCGCGGGCTGCCGCTGGAGGCCGCGCAGTGGGCGGACGCGTGCGTGCTCGTCTACTCCATCACGGACCGCGCGTCCTTCGAGTGGGCGCTGCTGGCCCTCACGCACTTCCGCCGCCTGCGCCCCGCCGGCACACCCACCGCGCTGCTCGCCAACAAGGCCGACCTGGAGCACCTGCGCGCGGTGAGCACCGCGCTTCAGCCCTCTGCTTTGCCCTTTGCTTGCTCATTGGTCCCGTAACCGGAAGCGGTAGCGTTCCTTCCCTGCTGGAACGTGTGATTCGGTGCCGACCTACATGTTGGCTTGCGAGGGTTTCCCCATTCACGATTCTCCGCCACTGGGCACCGTCCGCGGCAACTTCTAAGTTCCAGACCGGTCTTCTGACATGTGTAGTGTAGTACATGTAAGTGGAAAGGAGAGAAGGGGATAAGAATGAAGAAAAAAGAACGCCGCTAGCATCAATCCAATCCAATCCAATCCATCTGCACTTCCCGGGGACGAAAAGCCATGCAGCGCGAGTAGAGGTAATGACTTATGCTTAAAAACTTACGGGACCAATGTTCTTAGCATCTCAATGTTCATATCCGATAAAGACGTCTTGATATCCACTCAATGTGCGAGTATTCGCACGACGCAGCGCCCCGACGATGAACGATGTTGTCTCTGGAGCGAAGGCGGTGACGGGTGCGCTTGTTCGTTGCAGGTTGCGGAGTCGGAGGGCCGCCAGGCGGCGCTGCAAGCCGGCTGCGCCTTCTGCGAGGTGTCGGTGGCGGAGAACAGCGCGGCGCTGTACGCGGCCTCGTAGCGTGGTGAGCGAGTGCTGCTCGGCGGCCAGATCCGTCCGCGCCCTCGCTCGGCGCCGCACCCACTCACCCCGTGCGCTCAAGCCCGCCCGCAAGTTCTCCGTCACCAGATTGATCGGCACGCTCTCGGCGGCGGCGGCGCGGGCTCGCCGCCAAGACGCCCGCGGGCGCGGGCGCGGCGGCGGCGGCGGTGCGCGGAGCACCGTCTCGAGTGCCACAAAGGCCGATCTGCAGCGCAGCCGCGTGCTGCAAAGGCGGCAGACTCTCTCCGCCACTTGCGTCGCTGTGACCGCTCACGCCCCCGGTGCCCGCCCACGCCCACGCCCACGCCACTGCACGTCGCCCGACGCCGTCGCCATCGCTCCCCGCGCGCTATAAGCGCCGCCCGCCATTCACAACTCAAGGAAGTGTGCTGTTGCGGTCTAGCGTAACGGCCGTACCAAAAGACGCCTTCCTCGTTGGAGGTTTACTGTTGAGTGTAGCGCTGACGGCCATACAATAAGCCTACTCGTTGGAGGTTGGAGTTGCTGCGCTTGCAAAGCAACCGGCTCGGCCGTTGTAGCTGTGCTTGTCGGTCTCACGCCCGTAACTCACGGCGACCGCAACTTTCAGTTCAGCTCGTCTCTGGACCTGCTTCCATGGAACTGTGAGTTGGTATTGTTGACAGTAGCTCGCTACGCTGATGGAAAATTCTTGGTTGTGTTCGTAGTGAGACAAAACTTGTAAATAAAACGCGCACAATTACCAAATAGATTTAGTGCAATATCGCGAATGTTGATAGAGACAGTGCTCAGAAGGTGAGTTCTGAGAAGGGATTGCTCAAACGTGTCAACAAGCGCGAGAGAAGGCAAATTGACATGAACCACCCGAAGAAGAAGAAAAAGAAGAGGAGGAGGAAGATGAAAAGGAAGAAGAGGAAGAAGAAGAATTGCTATGCCTCGTTGAGATTCTCATACAATTCAGAATTATAAGACTGCATTATTCCCGTATTCACGATTTAGGACTGGCAACATCCAACAATGTGACAATACTTAATAAATCACTATGCATTAAGAGATTTGAATCATTTATACTTTGTTTACTTTGTGAATACTGCTGTGTCTGTGAACATGCCAAAACCAATTAAATTGTTCTGATGGAAAAACATCTCAGAAAACAAATTCCTTTTCGGTAATACATAAACATCTCTTAGTGTTAATCTAAAATTTGGCCTTGATTCAAACCTTTATCTCTGAATAAATTTACTCCCTATTCTGTTTTGGGGAGTTTCTAGAATCATAGTGCCTAGATATTAAAACAAAATTTCAGAGTTATTGCAGTTAAAACACGTACGATAATGAATATGTATCACAAAAAATTCAAAAATAACTGTACTAAATAGTGTACATTTATATTGATGTCCAGTTCATTCAAATTAAGTGTTATATGACAAATAATTCATATTCTGCACTAATATAGTTGCAAATAATATGAAAATATTATTTCTGTACCTTTATTTTATTTAATAAAAAGTACAGGGATAGTATTTAAAACTTTTGTATATTCTGTGCAGCTCTAGCTCATACAGTTTTCACATAATTTCAATGTTATTTTAACTGTTTGGTTGAATCAACATAAAACAATAACTGTTCCAAATTACGTTTACTTTAATGAGGACAAATGTGCTCTTGTATTGCAAGAAAAAAATTAAGACATTTTTGAATAGAATTTGTATTTGCTGAAAGTCTAAATGCATAGAATACATAGAATTATTTAATTTTAGAATTTTTGAAAGATCACAATACGAAAAACACATTAGTTCCTGGTCATAATTTACAACAGATTTAGAAAGAAACTTATCACAATGTTACACTTTTTTAATTATTCAGTGCAAAAAATAATTTATGCCCATTTTTGGTACTTTCAGTAAAAAAAATACAACTCGAAAGAAAAAATTCAAACTCTACACTTGACCATTTGGTAATGAAAGTGAGTCAATTTTGAATGGTGCTTTGTAGTAACAAATAATATTGCCAGTGCTTTTTTCCAATTCCAGTTGACATTCATGAGGCAAGATTTTAAAAAAATTGGCTTTCAATTGGATCTTTTATCATGGACATTCATATCTAAACTTTGAAAATACTTTTAACTTATTTTTTGCTTTCTACGAAACATTGACCGTCTAATATCATCATAAGATCAGTGTAGTGCAAATCAGTGTAATCAGAGGTTTAAAGATTGATTTAAGTGATTTTCAACCCATGTCTGAATCATTTTTCAACATAGCAAGCCAGCAGTAAAAACACTAAATACATTTCAAAGCGCAAGCAAAATATTAGTTACTACTTACTGTGAATTTTTTGAAACTGAAAAAGTATCAAAAAAGAACAAAAATGTACTGAATATTGATATTTAGAAAAAATATGTTCAAATATTAATAATACACTATCTCATTTATTCTTAGACATTTGGACTTTTCATACAGTTGAATAGCATAGAACACATCATTGAGAAATCGGCCTTAAAATTATAGAGCGTTTTTAAAGAAAAATAGTTTATTACTCAAAATTTATGATACAATTCTTCTTGATATACATCTGAATAATACCCTCTTATTATTCAACTTATTAAAATTGAATAACCCCCACTTCATTCAACTTATTGAAGTGTTTATGACCTTCCTCCTGCTGTCTACAATCAAAAGTAAAGATCAAGAATAAGTTTACAACGTAGGTTTTAATTTTATATTTCTAAAGTATAAAATATCCTATCCAACTAAACACAGTTTTGTGCATATCTGAGAATAAATTACATAAATGTTTAGATTCCCAAAGAACACAGTAACTTGCATGCATAATTCCTTTCAATGTTTCATGTTAAAATATACTCTGCATACGTTTGTGCCATATCTGTTCTTGTGCATCTTTATCCACAAAATATTCAATTTAAACACTTACTATGTGTTGCAAATGTTCTCTTAGGTCTAGACCCATCAACCCGAGCAATCAATGTACCTATTATATTTATTCAAGATGGCTGTGAACAAGTGGATTTGTTTCTTATTTGTTTTTTAATAAAAAGTACAGAAAATAGAATGGTGATATAACATTTTGTCCATCTTTAATATCATTAACCCGTTTTCCATCACCTGGAACCCAATATTCATCCTCGCCTATTTTTATTGCCTCTTTCCTAGTCAAATTTTCTATGCTCCACGTCATATATAACACATGAAAATTGTGTCGTAATTCATTAATCATCAAAATTAGTGCTGTAATAGATACATCTTAGAATGTCTTCGTCCCGACAAATATTAATAATGAGTTGCCTGAAAACAATTTCACAAAAAAGATAAGTCGAACTTGCACTTCACAAATAGAGCTTATTGAAATGCACTTCTGCACGGGCAGTCTTTCAAACATATTGCCTGCTTAATGATCTTTCTCTTAACACTGATCGCTAATTTCTGTCATGTTCTACAATTACAAATCCCTCCTACTTAAATAAAGTTTTTTGTTTTATTTAATTTTGATACAGGAAAAAACATTAGTTTCGAATTAATTCATAAAGTCTCACAAAAATTTTAATGTGGGCGATGTTCGTCTAATTTGCTGCCTTTTTACACTCGACAACGTGGGCACTCTAAATACATACTAATGTGTTAAATGATGAAGTTCAATCATTTACAATAAATGGTAGTAAATTTACAGTAAATCATTTACACCTGGCTAATTGCGTTAAGGCCCCCTCGATCACGCAGGAGTGCCGCAATACGACGTGGCATGGACTCGACTGATGTCAGAAGTAATGCTGGAGGTAATTGACACTATGAATCCTGTCCATGAACCATGATGAAGGCTGGTCCATAAACACGAGTACAAGGGGGTGGATATCTCTTCTGAAAAGCACGTTTCAAGGCATCTCAGATGTGCCCAATAATGTTCACGTCTGGGGTCAAGCGGAAGTGTTTAAATTCAGAAGAGTGTTACTGGAGCCACTCTGTAGCACTTCTGGACGTGTGGGCTTTCACATTGTCCTGGAATTGCCCAAGTCCGTCGGGATGCAGAATGGACATGAATGGGCGCAGGTGATCAGACAGGATGCTTACGTACGTATCACCTGTCAGAGTGGTATCTAGACGTATCAGGAATTCCAAATCACTCCAACTGCCCATGCCCCATACCATCACAGAGCCTCCATCAGCGTGAACAGTCCCCCGTTGACAAGCAAGGTCCATGGATTCACGAGGTTGTCGCGACACGTCCATCCGCTCGAAACTATGTGAGACGAGACTCGTCAGACCAAGCATCAACCATCAACCGTCAGACCAACAATCAAGCATTTCCAGTCATCAACAGTCCAATGTCGGTGTTGACGGGCGCTGGCGAGGCGTACAGCTTTGTTCCGTGCAGTCATAAAGAGTGAGCCCTCGGCTCCGAAACATCATATTGATAATATCTCGTTGAATGGTTCGCACGCTGACACTTGACATGTGCCAGAAGATTGGAAACTGTCCTGAAGTGCATATTTAATTATTAACAGAGATCAAACTCTGCAAGTTATAGAACGATCTCAACTGTACTAAAAAAATTATGAAAACTTAGCTAAGAGAAACACACAATGGAAGGTTATTGTCAGAAGAATAAGTTGACCTAAGAATTTGAACTGCACTGCCAATATATACTTTCTCAAGCAATGTTTTTTTAAATGATTCATTAGAAATTCATGTATCCAAACATTCGATCACGTAAACGGCAGACTTAAATAAGGAAGAGAAGTGAAAGAGTACATGGAGAAGAAATCAAAAATACGTATGAAAATTAAGATTTATCAAATAACAGGACGTTAATCACGCGTTCAACACTGCTACATAATTTCACAACTAACCTAATTAGGAACTTTTTAAACAATTTAACACGAATCTCCAGAATTTTAAAATTAATTTTAGCACTTTCGTTTAATCAATGGTCTAGTTGTTCGTCGATGAGTAAGTCAATCTCTAATAGTTAATATTGACTCCAGATGGCATGTAAGTCTTATAATATGGCAACCTCTTCTAAAAGTACACTGATGAAATTGTGGCGAAAACGTTAGAAATCTAAAGCTCAAATCGAAAATAAAAATATACAGCAAGTAAATTAAACTGTCTAGGTTTCACACTAACTTATATTGGGACATGAATGAGAAAAATCGAAATATTTCATTTAAACAGAACAATTAGCTGTATTTGTTATATATAAAGGAATTGAAAATTTGTGAAGCAATTTCAATTCCCGTGTTCA